GCTCAAAGAGCGGCTCCCACAGCAAGGAGGGGCCCGTGAATCATCGCGGTGCCCCCTACCAAAACGGTAATCTTACCAGTCTGCGTGACACAAAATCACCCAGCACATGTATCCAACACCAATGTTCGCAGACTCACCAACAGAGTCGAGTGAAGGGCCGCCTGGTAGCGAGAAGTGGGTAGCAGATTCTGGAGCAAGCAACAACTTCACCAACAGCGACTTGCACGTGTACGACTTGCAGGAGATCTTCTCGAATAGGCAGTATGTCATTGTAGGAGATGGTCGTCTGTTGAAGGTGAAAGCAATCGGTAGCATCAACCTCAGCTTTTTCCAGGAGGGTGATAACGGTGTGCCAACGACGATGTATGTGAAGCTGACTGACGTGTTTGTGGTAGAGAGATTGAGTTTTAACTTGTTTTCGACGCATGCTGTTTCTCTTCGGCAACGAATAATCCATGTTGAGCGTGGCGTGACCCTGCGTAACGGACTGCTGTTTGCTAGAGAGGAGAAAGCTTCTGCCGCCTATGCAATGCGCATGCTTTCCGACCCGTCTGCGATTGTGTTAGACTCTGCTGCTTTGCCTGCCTTCGTGAAATCCCCCGATTCCACCCCCGCTGATGGTCCAACGTCCCCTTTCCCCAACGGCAGCTCCGTAGAATCATTGGTGTCTGTTTTGCGTGCACCGCCCGCTGGCTTTGCTAGCATTGTACCTCCGACTGACAGCGTCCCGCCCACTGGTCTCGCCAGTGTAGTCCCTGTGCATGACAGCTTCCAGCCCACTGGTCCCTCCAGTGTAGTTCCTGAGCATGACGGCGTCCCGCCCGCCGGTTCTACCGACGTCGTACCTCTTTCGGCGTCCAGTTTTGAGTGTGTGGGTACTTTCCCGGGTATGGATCTCGGAGATACGAGTGTGTTCACCGACGAGCTGCTCATGGACGGGTATGACAAAACCCCGTACCAATATTTTTTCCCCGCGTTCATGCTAGAGAATGAAGCTGCGATCGCGGCTGGTGTTACGGATGGAATTGATGGTGGTGTTGGTTTTGACGTGGGTGTGGCTGCTCTTGGTCCTGGTGCGTCCCCGTTTTCCATTGGTTCGACCGAAAGCCNGTTCACCGACGAGCTGCTCATGGACGGGTATGACAAAACCCCGTACCAATATTTTTTCCCCGCGTTCATGCTAGAGAATGAAGCTGCGATCGCGGCTGGTGTTACGGATGGAATTGATGGTGGTGTTGGTTTTGACGTGGGTGTGGCTGCTCTTGGTCCTGGTGCGTCCCCGTTTTCCATTGGTTCGACCGAAAGCCCGTCGACATCAACCGCTTCCACCGTTCCCTTGCCCACGCTTGTGAACCCCTTTTGAGAGAAACTGCCCGGCAGAGGGGCATCACTCTCACGGGAACGTTGGAACCATGCTCGGACTGCATGAAGGCGAAGGGCAAGAGGGCGTCGGTGCCGAAGGGGCCGGGAGCGTGGGCGTCGAAGCCTCTCGGGCGTGTTCACCTGGACCTGTGTGGACCGTTGGCGCCTTCCCTGGGCGGCAACCCCTACTTGTTCGTCGCCGTAGACAGCGCCTCGCGGTGGAACAAGGTCCACGGTCTCCGGCGGAAGTCCGACGCGCTGGCGGCTACGAAACGGCTGCTGGCGGACGTGGGGCGGTATGACCTCGGCCGCATCGAGTGCTTCCGGATCGACAACGAGTGGACCCGGGGCGAGTTTCGGCGTTTCTGCGCCGACAACGGCATCGGCGTCGAGTTCACCCCGCCTGGCGTCCCGCAGTACAACGGCGTCGTCGAGAGCGCCATCTGGCGCATCATGAAGGCCGGCATGGCCGCTCGCCGCAGCGCTGCCCGTGTGCTCAACGTCGAATACGCCTCCATCACCGGCCTCGACCCGCGCGGTGACCGTCTGTGGTTGGAATCTGCGAAGTGGGCCGCCGACTCTCTCAACCAGTCGGTGACCAAGGCCAACCCCGGGCGTCGTTCTCCGCACGAGCTATTCACCGGTCAGCAGGGGCCGTTCCGCGTGCTGCCGTTCTTCCAGCCCGGCTACATGCGTGAGGATCGCCGCACCAAGCTCGACGACCAGGCCACCCTATGCTATTACCTGAACGGCGGCGACAACCACCCGAGCGGCACCGTCAAGGTCCTCAAGGCGTCCACCGGCCGCGTCGTCTAGACCAACAACGTGTCGTGGGTGACGTCGGCGCCAGCCGGCGAGGGGGGTTCCGCTGGTATCCCCGCTGCGCCGACGCCTCCCCCGTTCACGCCGGTCGTCTCGATCAACTTCGGCCCAGCCCCGACGCCTTCGACCGCCGCACAGCCGCCGCCAGCGCCCACGCCCACGCCGTCGCCCGCACCCGCTCCTGGCCAGCCGCCCTCTGCCGCTTCGCCGTCATCGTCGGCGACCCCCGCTCCTGGCCAGACTCCTTCTGCCGCATCGCCGTCACCGTCGGCGACCACATCTCCAGTTCAGCTACCGCCGTTACCGCCGCCGCCGCTGGGCCCCGCGTTGCCCCCGCTCTCGGCTCACGCCATGCCGCAGCTTCGCCCGGGCAAGAAGGCCGAGGGTATGAAGGACCCGCGGCTGCCAGGCCGCACGACATCGGGCACGAGGCACACCGCAGGGCTCATCTCGATGCTGGACAAGAACACGCTGGTATCGATGCTGGAGGCCCAGAGCGCGGTAGAGGAGGAGCGCAGGGAGTCGGGGGGAGCGGGGACCGGAGAGCCGGGGGAGCGGAGGCTGGAGAGCAGGGGGGAGCGCTCGCAGCCGTGGACCTGGGGGCTGGAGGAGCGGGCATTCCACTTGCATGTTCCACGCTCCTCGCCAACCGGGAAGACATCGATACCATGCTGCGCGACCAGCGCCCGCCGGAGCAACGCCCTGATCTCCCGCACTGCCAGGCGAGCGACCTTCGCATCCCCAAGAGCTACAACGGGGCTATGGCGTCGGAGTACCGGCACCTCTGGGACGACTCGATGAAAAGGGAGTATTTTGGGTTGCTGGAAGCGGGGACTTTTACTCCGGCGAAGTAGCAATCAGTGCAGAACGCGATAAACGCGAAGTGGGTATTCAATTGGAAGGCAGATGAGTTTGGATGGGCCACTAAGGTCAAGGCGAGACTTGTAGCGAGAGGTGATATGCAGAGAGAGTATATTGACTTTGGAGATTTGTACGCGCCTACCGTTTCTGTTTCGTGTGTCAGGATGTTGGCAGCGTTGGCGTGCGAGTTGAACCTCGACTTGTGTCATTTCGATATTGAGCAAGCTTTTTTGCGTTCGGAGTTGGAAGAAGACGTACTCATGCGATTGCCGCAGGGATGTGGAGCTCTATCTGGGTTGGTGGTAAAACTAGGCAAGAGTCTGTATGGCTTGAGACAGGCCTCTAGGCAGTGGCATGCAATGCTGAAGAGGTGTTTGGTTGCGTTGGGATTTGACCAGTGCATGGCCGATGCTCGTGTGTTTCGATTGATTGAAGGGGGGGGGGTGTTTTTGATTTTGGTAGTACATGTAGAAGACATTTTTGCTGTGGGAGAGGGGGAGAGATGTGACAAGTTTGGCGCCGACCTTAACAAGTCCGTGCCGGTGAAGAACCTGGGAGAGTTGAGATGGTATTATGGGTGCTTTTACGAGAGAAGCAAGGAGACTGGTAGGCTGACGATTTCTCAGCAGACTTTCACGGATGAGCTAGCAGCAGAGTAAGGAGTAGCAGGGGTAAAGAGCGTTCCCATGTCTTCGGGGGTCAAGCTTTCTGACTTTGATGCGGATGAAGAGGCGACAGATTTTCCGTTTCGTGAGCTAGTAGGATCTTTGATGTGGCTGGCGACTCAGACTTGGCCAGACATTGCGAATGCGTAAGGGCAGCAGCTAGATATTGCGCGTCTCCGAAGCAGGTGCACTGGGATGCAGCGATGGGTATATTAGGGTATGCGAAGAGGACGAGTTACATGGGTGTTGCATTTCAGTGAGGTACGGTGGAAGAATTCAGCTTGCAGGGGTACGCTGATGCGGACTTTGCGAGCAAGGCAGCAGACCGTAGGTCGATATCAGGGGGGATAGTAACATGCGGAGGAGGCGTTGTGTCTTGGTTTTCCAGAACGCAGAAGTGCGTTACGCTTTCGACAACAGAAGCAGAGTATGTCGCGCTTGGCGATGTAGTGAAGGAGATTTTATTTTTGAGGCAGGTTTGGCGATTTATGTTTCCGAAGGTCAGCATGCCGTGCATCCCAGTCTTTGAGGACAACCAGGGGGCGATTCAACGAGCGCAGAACCCCATCTCGAACTCGAACTCGAAGCACATTGATGTAAGGCACCATTTTCTCAGGGAACTGGTAGAGAGGAAGGAGATTTCGGTGATTCACGTGCCGTCTCCGTACCAGCGTGCAGACTTTCTTACGAAAAGTTTGCCCAAGGATGCGTTCGAGTCTCACCGTGATTTTGTGATGAATTTGGCATGAGTTTTTATTATTTTTCTGATGAGTTTGGTTTGGCTTTCGATCTGATTGTTTTGCTTTCCGCGCTAAGTTATTTTCACGCGCGATGAAGCAGTATTCATGTTTCTTGGACTTGGTTTTCGTTTCTTATATTTTGGAAGTAATCTTGATAGCATATAGTCTATTCAGGAAAAGACGTATNGAGGAAGGAGATTTCGGTGATCCACGTGCCGTCTCCGTACCAGCGTGCACACTTGCTTACGAAGAGTTTGCCCACGGATGCGTTCGAGTCTCACCGTGATTTTGTGATGAATTTGGCGTGAGTTTTTATTATTTTTCTGATGAGTTTGGTTTGGCTTTCGATTTGATTGTTTTGCTTTCCGCGCTAAGTTTATATCGCGCGCGATGCAGCAGTAGTCATGTTTCTTGGACTTGGTTTCCGTTTCATATATTTTGGAAGTAATCTTGATCGCATATATTCAAGAAAAGACGTCTTTTGGTTGAGGTATTATATATATATTATATCACGATTCGTCTAATGAGTCCTACATCTTGATTAATGAATGCATTCGCTGCATACGGGGTTAGAATTTTTTNTTCGTATGTTGATGGGTACCACCGATGCAGATACGGGGACCCTTTTGGCCTTGGTTGCGGTGTTGAAGGCTCGCGCATCTAGCGCACTGCTTTCGCTCTCTCCACCGCTACCGCCGTCTCTCTCCAATCAAGTTTCCTTCTTCAACGTTTTATCCAACGCCAACGCAATCTCAATCTCTACCTCTCTCTCTCGGCCTAACACGGCCGACTACCCACTGCCCCAACAGACGCCCAACACGGGCTTGCTGCACC